AAAAACCAAAAACCCCCTCTATATTTACATCTATTTTTTGTGGTCATTCAAAGGGAAAAAACCCCCATAATCTTGGATTTGTCACATTCAAGTAAGCACTATTCCTTAATGCCTGCAAAACACTTCCTACAGACACTAGAAAGATTTTTTTGTGTGTGTGAAACAGGGTCTAGCTACATAATTCAGGCTGGCCCTGAACTCCCAGTGATCTTCCTGCCTCAGTCTCTAAATGCTAGGATTATAGGTGTGTGCCACCACACCTGGCTGTCCATTATTATTATTATTATTGTTGTTGTTGTTGTTGTTATTATTTGATACCAGGGATCAAACCCGGGACCTTGTGCTTGTGAGGCAGACGCAGTGCCACTGAGCTAAATCCCCAGCCCGCTCTGTTACTTTTAACAACTATAAGCATTATATCTTCAATTTCATTGGCTGATACTGGTTTATTAATTTTTTTATCTTCTTGATTCAATCTTGGTAATTCATATGTATATAGGAATCTGTCCATTTCTTTGGTGTATTCCAGAGAACCTGTACTCTAATAAGATGGAAAACAAAAGAAATGGACAGAGATACTTGGATGCATATGAATTACCAAAGCTGAATCAAGAAGATATAAAAACTCTAAATAAACATTTATCAGTCAATGAAATTGAAGAATTAAAAACCTACCAACAAAGAAAAGCCCAGGCCCTGACAGATTCACTGCTGAATTCTTCAAGAAATATAGAGAAGACTTAATGTCACTACTTCTCAAACTCTTTAATGAAACTGAAAGGGAAGTAATACTCCCAAATTCATTCTTTTTTTTTTTTTTTTTTTTTGGTACCAGGGATTGAACTTGGGTCCTTGCGCTTGCAAGACAGGCCACCAAACCGCTGAGCTAAATCCCCAGCCCCCAAATTCATTCTTGGAAGAAAGAATTACCCTGATAACCAAAACCAGAGAAGGATCCATCCAAAAAAGAGAACTACAAGCCAATCTCCCTAATGAACATAGATACAAAAATCCTCAATAAGACACTGGCAAACAGAGTAAGCAAATCATAAAGAAGATAATACACCATGACCAAGTAGGATTCATCCCACAGACACAGGGATGGTTCAACATATGCAAATCAATAAATATAACACACCATATTAACAGAGCCACACAATCCTCTCAATAGATACAGAAAAAGCGTTTGATAAGGTCTAACATCCATTTATAATAAAAACTCTAGAGAAAATGGTATGGTGGTCTTTATCTCAATCTGATAAAGCCATCAGTGACAAGCCAATAGCCAACATCATACTAAACAAACAAACAAAAAAACCCTGAAAACTTTCACTCTAAAATCGGGAACAAGACGAGATGTCCATTGTCACCATTTATTCAACATATTTCTGAAAACATTAGCCAGAGCAATTAGACAAGAGAAAGAAAAGGAACAAGGATAGGAGAGGAGGAAGTTAAATTATCATTATTTGTGGATGGCATGATTTCTACATAGAAGACCCCAAAAACTCCACCAAAAGACTTCTAGATTTAATAACCTAATTCAGTAGTGTAGCTGGATACAAAGACAACACTCAAAAATCAATAGCTTTCTATACACAAATAACAAACTCACCGAGAGAAATTAGGGAAACAGCACCTTTCACAATAGCATCTCCGCTGTTGGTGGAAGTATAGAGTGGTACAATCACGGGAATCAGTGTGGAGATTCCTCAGAAAATGACAGCTAGAGGTTCCATTCCACCCAGCCATTCCCCTTCTTGGTATCTTCCTGAAAGAACTAAGAGTGCCAGGGATTTAGCTCAGTGGTGCTATGCCTGCCTCATAAGCACAAGGTCCTGAGTTGGATCCCGGGTCCCCAAAACAAAACAAAAGGAATTAAAAGCATTGGACCATAGCGATATCTGCACGCCCATGTTTATAGCAGCACAGTTTGTAATAGCTAAATCTTGGAAACATCCCAAATGCCCATTAACCAATGAATCAATAAAGAAGATGTGTTTTTTTGTACAGTGGAGTACTACTCTGTTATAAGGGTGATCATGAGACATTGCTAGCTAAATGGGTGCACCTTGAGACCATATTCTTTAAGTGAAATAAACCAAACATACATGTTTAAATACCAATATTTCTCTGGTGGGAGAAAGCAAAAGTGGGAACAAGGACCAAAATGTACAATAGATATTGGGAAATGGGAAGAAAATGTTCAGGGAAGGTGGACAAGGGAAGAGGGAGGGGGAAAAGAAAGAAGGGACAAGAAAAAAGAAAGGCTGGGAGGTAAAATGGAAACAAAGCTTTTATATATGAGGAGGGGAAGAGGAGTACAAGGAGGGGAGGGGAATGGGAAAAATGGAGCAAGATACATCACGTACAGGTACCAATTCCCTATGATGAATGTTATCATTATGTATATCAAAGGCATACTGATAAAATAAAATAAATATATAATTCATTAAATAAAAGATACAACACTGTAGATGAGATCCTGAGGTCAGGAAGTTTCTGTTGATGAGCCTTTACCAAACAGTGACCAATGTCTCTCAACCTCCACGAGGCTAGAATGTTTATTTTGGCCCCTTCCTTGACCTTGCGTACTGGCAGAAATACTAGTGAGGAAAATGACCCCTTCCTCTAAGTTGTTCTAATGAGATGTAGTTCAATTTACATGCAGTAAACTGAGGCTGAGGCAGGAGGATCACTATGAGTTCAAGGACAGGCTGAACTATATATAGTGAGAACCTGTTTCAGAGAACAGAAACAAAAAGATATCACAGGGGAAGGAATTGATACCCAGTGCCTGTGACCACATCCAGCAAAAGAAAATGGTCAGCAATGCCAGAGGTGTCAATGGTGCATGGTGTGATGACACTGGAGTAGAAACAGTCGACTCTGGCCATTAGGAGATTATAAATGGCTCTTGAGAGAAGAGTTTCCAGAGGGAGGCACAAGGGCTGAGAACTGGAATGATAGAAAAATCAGATTGTAACTGATGAAGACTGAACACATGGGACTCTCGATGATCACTCTGTGTAACAAAGGGGAAATGTGGGTTTTCAGACTGAGCATAAATCACTTGCCCAAGTCCATTGCAAATAACTGAGTTTCCTGTGTAGCTCACTAGGGAACTTTTGTGTGATTTCAATTTCCAAGAGGGGACCGACTTCAATTTAGTGTCCACTTGCAATTTAGTGTATGCCTTTAATTTTTCAAGGCCTAATATGCTCCAGACACTGTGCTGGGCCCCTGATATGTGCTATCTTTAACCTGCGCAGCCACCATATATAGGTTGGATAAGAAAATGGAGCTGAGTCGTCTGTGGCCACGGTCTGTTTTTCTGTGACTTTTGAGGACTTTCCCCCATGTTTTACTTTCTTGCTTTATTAAACACCGGGCTTACTGAGATGTGTTTTAATGACTGGCAATGTAATTTTTTAAAAAATGAAGGCCTGTTTTGGGTGACAGCAGAGCTTTAATTCATTTTCAAAATTTATCTTTTAACTTTTATTAGTAAATGTGTATAGCAAGTAACTACATTCCTTGTGGGAAGTTGGTGTATGTACGCAGCACATCTTAATTATTTTTACTTCCGCTTCCTCCCTGCTTTCCCTCCATGTCTTGGCCCCCTTCCCGTTTGCAAAAGAGCTGTCTCCCAGCTTCAATTTATTTTAATTTCATAGAATTTTTAGACATAGCAAAAACGCACCTTATATAAATACTGGACTAAAAATTTAGTTTCATGCTTGGTTTTCCTACAGTCTCTGCTGCTAGAAAATGTAGCATTTCTAAGTAATGTGATTTTTTTCCAATGGTAATGTTCCTAACCTTTTTCTGGTTGTAAAATTAATGACCTTTTTACAATGTCAAAATTAAATTTGACCCTCCCCCACGTATTGGTTCTCAGAATCACACATAGCATTTTAAGGAATTTGAATTGTGTGTGGTAGTCCCCGTGTCTATAATCCCAGCTACTCAGGAGACTGAGGCAGGTTTGAAGCCAGCCTGGGCAACTTCGCCAATCCTTGTCTTGAAATAAAAAATAAAATAGTCTGGGGATGTAACTCAGTGAAGAATACTTCCTTAGTATGTGTGCATAAGGTCCTGGGTCCAGTCTCCAGTACCCCTACCAAAACATAATAAATATTAAAGGTTAATAGTGAATAACTCCCAGAATATTAGCAGCGGCTCACTTTTCCCTTGTCTAATGAACTTGCTCCACCTACAGAGGAAAAGAGATTTTTTAAATGCTACTGAAAGATAAATAAATTGCTTCACAGCAGCTGTACCCACCCATATCTCCCCCATCCCTTCCTTTTTGGTCTCCTCCTCTTTCCGTAGCCCTGCTGGCTATATAGTATACTTCCCGTTCCCATAACCCATCACTCTTGCTGCTTTTCACAGCTCTATAATCCCTTCCTTAGCTGCCTTTATATATATATATATATATATATATATATATATATATATATATATAGAGAGAGAGAGAGAGAGAGAGAGAGAGAACCAATTTAAGCCTTGCTCTTGCTCTTTCCTCTTGATGATCCTCTCCATTTCTCAGATGAGCCCAAATAAGACCAGGAACAAAGTGTTATAAACAGAGGCTCCTCTCCTGAAGAAAACCCTGGAAACATGTTCCCCTTTACCACACAACAGAAATCAAACTATCTCTGGCTAAAGCACTAAGTATTTATTTCTTTTTGCTAGACATTACAGAATCCATTATTGGTATAATTTATTTTAGTAACTAAAGAAACAATTTTAATGTTGATAAGAACAAAATCACTGAAAACCCTATGTGCCAATTTTCCTTGATGTTTAAAATGCTTTTAACATTAGAATATACTATTAGACATAGGTTTGAAAGGCTTGATTTGGGGACTGGGGGTGTAAGCTCAGTCATAAAGTGCTTGCTTAGCATGTGAAACCCTGGATTTGATCCCTAGCACCAAGAAATAAAGGTTTTATTTTATTGTGTAATTTAAATACTTCCCCTTTCTCGTTAGCTAAGAACTCTTCAAAGAAAACTTTTCAGAGAAGAGACTTCATTGCGAGAGACAAAGACTGAACTAGCAAGGTACAAAGAACAGCAGTCATTCCAGATCATGTCCCTGAGAGATGACGTCAAGGGCCTGCAGGAATTTATTACTTCCCTAACCAGAATGAAGTCTTTGAAAGACTCCAATATTCAGAGTCTTGAAAGAGGCAACTGGGATCTAGCTAAACGAGTTACAGAACTAGAAAACCTTCTAAGGTAGGGAATGTCCTAGTTTGTTTTCAAACAAGTCTTTCGTTACGTGTTGGTACATAGTATATGAATTCCATACTGCTGATTAATCACAGAATTTAAATCTAGTAAAATTTCACTTAGTACCTGACTCAGTACCACAAGAGTCACCTGTTTTAAGCATATATAATCCAGTGGTTGTAACAACTATCACCATTATCTGATTTGAAAATATTTTTGTGATCCATAAAGGAAATCCCATGGACACATTAGCAGTCAATTTCCCATTTTCTACCAGCCCCCGATGGCCACTTTGTGTGCCTTTCCTGGACATTTCATATGAATGCAGTTATAACATATATCCTTCTGTGACTTCTTTCACTGACAAAATGTTTTCAAGCAGCATTAATCGCTACATCATTCCCTTTTATGGTTGAATAGTATTTCATTCTGTGTATATACTACATTTTGTTTATTTCTTGGTGGCCTCCTGCTTGTTTCCGATTTTTTCTATGAATAATCCTGCTACAAACATTCTTGTGCAAGCTTTTATATGAACCTACATCTCATCTCTGTTAGGGATATGCACTAGCAATAGAATTGTTCGGTCATATTGTAACTGATTAAGCCTTTGAAGTTACTTCTGAGGCATTGCCAGACTGTTTTCCAACACAGCAGGACCATTTCACATTCCCATCAGCAAGGTGGGGGTTAAAATTTCACCATATTCTCACCAATACTTAGTGCTTTTCTTTTTTTTTTTTATTATACTCGCTATAATTCTAGTGGATCGGAAGTAGTATCTCTTGGTGACTTTAATGTGCATTTCCCTAATGACTAAAGATACTGGACATCTTTTCATGTACTTGTTGGCCATTTGTATGTCTTCTTCATAGAAATACCTATTTGGAACTTTTGCTCATTTTAAAATTATTTTTAATTGGATTGTCTATTTGTTGTTGAGAGTGTTGGTATTTTCTGGATACTGGAACCTTATTAAATGTATGATTTGCATATATTTACTCCTAGTATGCAGGTTGTCTTTGCACTTTTTCTTCTTTTTCCTTATCTCGCCTTCCTTTTCATTGTTTTTTTTGAGATGGGGTCTCCCCGTGCTGCCCACACTGGCCTTGTACTCCTGGGCTGAAGTGACCTTCTTGCCTCAGCCTCCCAAGTAGCTGGAACTGCAGGCACACAACACTACAATCACCTTTTTTATAATTTTTTAAAACTTTCTCACTGAACTACATGCCTAGCTTGCTCTTTCCCTTTCTTTCTTTCTTTCTTTCTTTCTTTCTTTCTTTCTTTCTTTCTTTCTTTCTTTCTTTCTTTCTTTCTTTCTTTACCCATTTCTTTATTTGAAGCAATTAAAGAAGTTAAGGAGATGTTCTCGTACAATTTATAGAAAAGGCAAAGGTAACCCCAACATGCATGCCCTGCCCTGCTGACGTCAGCCCAGGCTTAGCTCTCATCGCTGTCCCCCAGATACTCTGCCCTGCCCGACTGGGGGCCCCATCTTGCCCAGGTTGGTCACGCGGTCACCCAGCTGTTTGATGGCCTTCACCTGCTCGGCCAGGTCCTGATCTCGATGGAGTCACGCAGGTGGCTCTTCTCAGTGGCCAGCTCGTGCAGCGCCAGGAGTGACAGGTGCACGCTCTTCTCCAGGTGCGAGGCGCACTAAGTGGCGTTGAGCTGGCTCTCCCAGTCTCCGCGGTCTGGATTCTCCGTGTCCTGAAGGACGATCCGGCCACCGCGCCGGTTCTGCGCGCTCCCTCCCCTTGTGGGATCCTCGAAGAAAGTACTTGGCAAAGTTCTTCCAAGCCACAGCGTCAGGTCCGAGTAGTAAGATGGGAACAGGTAGGCGTAGGGCGGTGGAGCGGCCTTGGAGTCCTGGTGGGAGTCCTGCGCTCCTGCGAGGGCCAGGAGGTCGTCAGTCCAAGAGCTGTCGGAGCAGGAGGCCTCAGCGACGCTCCGCGGAGCTCTTACTAAGTTTTTCATGTTGATGAAATTTTAAATTTTTGGTCACTTGTATCTTTGAAGTCAAATCTAAAACCATTGCTTAATTCAGAATCATATTCACACTTATCCTTTTTCTTTCCCCTTTTCTCTTTTGTGGTATTACGGATCAAACTGAGGGCCTTGGCACTGAGCTAATATGTGCTGCCCTTTCTTGTATTTTATTTTGAAACAGAATGGTGTCCAAATTAAATTTTTTTTGATGAATTTTCAAGCTGTCCTCAGTATCTTTTGTTGAAAGACTAATTCTTCTCCCATTGAATTGTCCTGGCACTTTTGCCAAACGTTATTTGACCATAAACGTGTGGGTTTATCTATGGAGTTTCTGTTCTATTACATTGGTCCAGACAATCTGTCCTTTGGCCAGCACTATGTTGTCTTGGGTACTATAGCTCTGTAGTAATTTTTGGAAGCAGGAAGAGTGAATCCTCCAACGTTTTCCTTTTTTAAGATTATATTGTTATTCTGGGTCCCTTCCAAGATTGTAAGTTTGATTTGTCAATTTCCATTAAAAAGGCAGATGTAATTTAATAGAGATTGTGTTGAATCGATTTACCAATATAATAATATTGCCTTTAACCTGTAAACATGAAGTGGCTTCCCAATGGCTTAGGGCTTCTTCAATTTGTTTTAACAGTGTTTTGTCATGTTCAGTGTATGTGTTTTATTTGTTTGAGACAAGGTCTCACGATGTAGTTCAGGCTGGCCTTGAACTCAGTGTGTAGCCGCAGTGGCCTTGACCTCATGGTGATCCTCTTGCCTCAGTTTCCCAAGTGCTGGAATTACAGGCCGGCAATACCACACCCACTTGTATATGTGCACCTTGCTGGGATGGGAAAATTCCCGTATGTTCCTAGTTTGTTGAGTGTTTTTTATCATGAAACCCTATTATTATTATTATTATTAATTACGTCAAATAATTTTATCTGTATCTACTGGGTAATTATGTGGCTTTGTCCTTTTTACAATTTGCTGCTCTTAGACATGCTTACTTAGGCAGTGATGGTGAACCTTGGCCAGTTTTCAGTGATAACAAATGGCTGGAGCACGAGGCCATTGGCTCGCCACTACTGGGGTAGAGAGAGGAGGTACCTGATCATGTGGCTTTGGCTGATAGGAGAAACAAAATCATCAACTCTCCCTCTTACAGTATACATAATACTTAAGAGAGTCATACTATATGAAGGAATAGCCCATGCAGATATGAGCACTGGTATAACCTATTATTATTTTTCTTAGCAAAACATTTATTGGTACATGTTATATATCTGTAATGATAACACTCATCATAGGGAATTTGTACCTGTACATGATAAATCCTGCCTCTTCTTTTTTCCCATCCCCCCTTCCCTTCGACCCCCACTTACAAAAGCTTTGTTTCCATTTTTCTTTCTATTTTCACTTTTTTCTTGTCCCTTTCTTTCCTTTCCCTTCCCCCATCCTAGTTCCCTTTCCTGTTTGAACATTTTCTTTGCATTTCCCAATATCTATTGTACATTTTAGTCCTTATTTCCACTTTGAGTTTCTCACACCAAGAGATAGTGCAGTTCTGTAAGAGCCTTACTGAACTAGAGCGACTCCATGTTGACCAGCAAATGACCAGAGACTGTTGTTCCCCACCCCTTATAGGATAAGTAATGATTAATTGTGAATTACTAGGTAACTGCTTGGGAGTAGCTGGGAAACTAGAATAAAACTATAATGAACATAGAGACCCAAAATGAATCACTCCACTCCTTATTTGCCTGTAACTGGATGTTCTGAACACCACAATCTATAAAACAATGGGTGATCGATCTGCTGATCATGAGTACGTAACGGTCGAGTACATGATTGATGACCACTTGCCTTTGTCCCCTTCCTGTAAGTTTCTAGTGTAAACTCCCCCCTTAGCCCTATATAAAATGGCCTCTGTTTCTGAGCTAGAGGCCTCTCTGAGCTACTTGGCTCCGGGAGTGCCATCTGGCCAGACTGATAAAGGTCTATTTGCCAACCAGCCTGGTGTGTTCCTTCCTGGGTGACTCTCGCTGTCCAACGAACTCAGGTCCTTGTGCTTGCAAGGCAGGCGGTGGAACCACTGAGCTAAATCCCCAGCCGCAATATTTTTAAATGGATGTCTGATTGTTTCACTTAAGAGTATGGTTTCAAGGTGTATCCTTTTAGCTGTAAATGTCTCAAGCCCTCCTTCTTTATGGCAGAGTAGTACTCCATTCTATAAAAATACCTACATCTTCTTTATCCATTTGTTGGTTGATATAGCTAAGCTTGTTATTATTATATTTAAATGTATCAGCCCAACTAATAAGTTGAGGTTTTCTCTGTGTTTTGAATTTCCCAATCATTTTTTAAAAGAAAATAGGATTTGAGAGGCTGAGGCAAGAAGATGGCAAGTTCAAGGCTAGCCTGGGCAATTTAGCAAGACCTTGTCTCAAAATAAACATAAACAAGGATAGGCTGCCGGGCATGGTGGTGCACGCCTGTAATCCCAGCACTCGGAGGCTGAGGCAGGAGAATCACTGTGAGTTCCAGACCAGCCTGGACTACATAGTGAGTTCCAGGTCAGTTTCAATTACATATGAGACCCTGTCTCAAAAAACCAAAAAAAAAAAGGGATAGGCATGTGGCTTAGTACAGATCATTTGCCTAGCATATGCAAGGTCCTGGGTTCAACCCTCAATACTGCAAAGACAAAGTATCACTTTAGAGGTCTTCCTGGTGTTAAGCCATGACACAAAACTGGCTGCAGCATGATCCGTAACAGCTGAGCAGGAATGGCAAACACTTCAACACAGTTTTGAATACCACTGCAGAAAAAGTCATTACTATGCTTTGGTTTTATCCTTATAGCTGGGAAGGTTAATTTTGTGTCAAGTTGACTGGGCCATGGGGTATCCAGTATCTGGGCAAAAATTATTCTAGGTGTTTCTGTGACTGTGTTCTTGATGAGATTGGTGGGTTTAGTAAAGCAGATTGCACTCCCTCATGTGAGCTGACCTCAGCCAATCATGGAACAGCTAGATGGAGAATTTTCCCTGCTTCATGGTCTCGATCCGGGACATCAGCTGTTTTCCTGCCTTTGGACTGCAGCTGAACCATTGGCTCTACTGGTGTTTACAGCCTGCACTAGTCAAACCTAGACTAGTCACTACCTTCTTGGGTCTCCAGTTTGTTGGCTTACCCTGCAGATCTTGGGAATTGCCAGCCTCCTGCGTGCACTAATGTTTACAGTAAATCTCTTTCAGCATATTTATACAACTAGTTTGGTTTTTCTGGAGAAGCCCGAGTAACACATAGAGAGTTTTTTGGAAAGGATTTCATTAATCTGATAGTGTCAAAGAGGGAGGAGGACTGGACAGATCCCATGGAATAGATTTTGGAGAACACTGGACAAAGAATTGCTACTCGTCCATCTCTGGTTCCCACATCATTTACCTGTTCTTTTTGGCAATTACAATTAGTACATATTTATATCTGGGAACATAGTTTGGGAGAGAAAAAAAGGTTTATTCCAGTCCAGGTGTGAACAGAGACTGAAACTGGGGGCAGGTTTCAGCAGCTAGCTGGGAAAGAAAACTACACTTATATAGGTTTTTGGAAAGAGGCTACAGTCATAAGGAATGTTTGTGACTGAGGGTCCAAACGGTCAGCACAGGTGTGCAGACAATCACTGGACTTTTTGGTGCCGGGGAAATTGTGTACTCCAACCTAAATTTTCTTTATGGCCATCTGTCCTGTTTACTGAGAATAGCTTCTTGTTTGCTGAGAGTGGTATGTTTGTTTGCACACTAAGCTACATTTCTAGCCCCTTTATTTTTATTTTGAGCCAGAGTCTTGCTAAATTTGCCCACACTGTGCTCGAACTTGCAACTTCCCTGCCCTACCTTCACAGACTGCTGGGATGTAGATGTGAGCCACAGTGCCTATTATCTTTAATTGAATTAGTTTATTATCTTTGTTTGAACTGAAAATCGGTTGAAATGTTTTCATGATGTTGTTACTAATATCTTACACAGAGTACTTCTGGCTGAAAGAGAAAAAGGAAAGCAAAAAGCAGACTTTTTGATGAATAAATTGTCACGTACGAGCAGATTCCCTCCTGTGAATATAAAAGGACAAGAGGATCCTTTGGATATTTTTCTAGTGAAGGTGAGAACAAATTTTGATTGATTTCTGAAGAAACAAGATTCTCATTACTTTATGTTACTCTACGAGGTCGTGGGTAAGTACTGAGTTCACTGTTCCTCTTTTTCATCGAGGACCAGTGGAAGTAATCTCATGCGGTGGACCAGAAGCCTTTCCAGCTTCTGCAGACAATGTGCTAGGTCTAGGAGGACCTGAAGGTTTCTGTAGTTCCGAAGAAAAGGGTGAAGGGATTGGGTCTATGAAACACCTGAAGGAGAAGTGGTGCTGAGGAGTGAAGTGCAGTCTTCTGGAGTTTTAGTTTCCTGGAGTGAACTAGTTTCTGCTGCTGCAGTAACCTAGGTTTGTGGCTCTGGCTGTAGGTAGTTGAAGAGTAGCTTAGGAAGTCATTGAAACCAAGGCACAAGACTCACAGCTGAAGGGTTGGTGGGGTATGGACATTGGCCATGAGGGCTAGGAATCATGGTGCGACTGAGTTAAAGGAAGTGAGCCTGAGCTCCAGGAGGCAGAGATTCAGAGGATGAGTAGACGTTACTCAAATCTGGACGAGGGGAGATGCACCTCTGGTCTTTTGTTCCTTTGTTCTTTAATTTTGCCCCCTCCCCCAACCCCAGCCAGGGGCCAGGGCTTTTAGTGATATAAATCCATCATCACTGGCATAATTCTTACTCTTTCTTCTTCTCATTATCACATAACAAAAAGCCCAGAAACTGAACTCACTTACTCAGCTCCTAGCTCTTGAAAAGAAGGGCATGTGAGAAGAAAGAAAAGTACAGACATTATTTATTTTTCATGTCTTTTTTGTTTGTTTGTTTGTTTTTTGTCTTTTTTGAGACAAGGTCTCACTATGTAATTGAGACTGACCTGGAACTCACTATGTAGCACAGGCTGGTCTTGAACTCACAGTGATCCTCCTGCCTCAGCCTCCCAAGTGTTGGGATTACAGGCATGCGCCATCATGCCCGGATTCATGTCATTGTTTAAAAACGGAAGCAGAATGATTTCAAGAGCACAAGGGAAAGATTGTGGGAAAGAAATGCAACTTCTTTCATTCATACTTTTACATTATCAAGGCTATTATTAAATTTATTTGATAACCATAAATCTTATGAAAATATCCATTTCCCTGCCAACTTCTCACATTGTGGTCTTGACAGTCATTGGTTATCCTTACCTGATTTGGTTGTTTTTATTAGGAGTTATAAAATCATGAATTTCTATCTTTTTTTTTTTTTTTTTTTTTTTTTTTTTTTTTTTGGTGCTGGGGATCAAACTCGGGACTTTTCACTTGCAAGGCAGGTGGCAGAAACGCTGAGCTACATCCTTAGCCCCCAGTCATTTCTTTTACATTTTTTAGTGTAAATTATTCTCTAAAGCCTTTACCTCATCAATTAGGCCTTTTGGTTAGCTGCTTCTCTAAGCTAAATTTCTACCTTTCATTGTTCTCATTTGATCTTTTGAGTAATGCCTTTTTTTCTCTCTGTGATTCTTTAATTCTTTCTTCCTATTGGGTCTTTTCTCCTGAACTTCTTGCTATAAATGTATGTGTAGTCTTAAAAGGATAAAAGTAAATATCTCAGTATTACATTTCAGTGAAGAAGTTTAACCTGTGTTTTGGCATATTTAGGAAAAGGGCAAATCAGTCCTGGCCAGAGAATTTGAGACAGAGATTATCCACTCTGAAGGACCAAATGATGTGCAGAAAGTTTGGGATAAATGTCAACAAGATGTGTTCCATGAGGAAAAACAAACATCTGAGTTAGATGGACCTCCATATTCATGCAGCCAAGAAGTTAAAACTGCGCGATCCCAATATCAGGATTTCCTCAGTCAGCTGGATGCTCTTCTGAGTGACAGCAGTAGGCCCATCCCAGCCACAGAGGACACTGTGAAGGAGAGGATTCAAGAAATTGGTGCAAATGAACAATCATGGAAATATGTGAGTGTACAGATATTCCTCATTTGACAACGTACCTGTCTAATGACTGTTTAGATTTGGGACAGAAATGTGCTGTTTGGACTTGCAACCAGTCTTTAAAAAATTTTTTTTGTACAGCTCTGTACATCTTGTTTGTAACGAGTCTCAGTGTCCTTTCACACAGCACACCGTATTCATACAGTACTGTAATTTTTGCTGATTATACTATATAGTACTGTAGTTTAATGTTCTGTTATACATTATAATACTGCATATAAGAGTTACGCAAATAAAACCTAAGTCATCAGGCTGGAGTTTCCTTTGACCATTTCTTTGTTCTGAATATTGTAATATGCATCCTATATATAATTCCTCATTTAATGACCTAGAGGCAGGAACGGAACTCTGTCATTGAATGAGAAATGTCTGCACTGACAAAAAACTTACTCTTTTCTAGTTCTTTCAAGATGTAGATTTGATGCTAGCCCCAATTAACTGAGCTACACTCCAGTCCCTCCAATTTTGTGTCATTTAAAAAATTCTCTGCACTCAAGGCCAGGGATTTAGCTCAGTGGTTCCACCACCTGCCTTGCAAGCGCAAGGACCCAAGTTTGACTCCTGCTACAAAAAAAAAAAAAAAAAAAAAAAAAAAAATCTCTGCACTCAAAATTGTGCAACTTTGTTTCTCAGTACTAAAATAAGTTGTTTTATGTATCAGCATTTTCCATTTATTTCTTCAAGTTACACATGTGAAATTTCTTTGAAATCTTTCTTATTCATCTGTTTAATGTCACCACTGTATTACTATAATTAGAAAAGAACTTGCATATAGTTTTGAAATGATGTAGGAAGCACATCAGGGAGCTCTTTAAATCTATCTTTTCATGCAGAGAGCTGAAGGCCTGCAGCAGAAAATTCAGAAGCTCATTAAGCGACTGGAGCAGCTGTATCAAATATATGAAGAGCCTGCTCACACTGGAGAGAATTATAGGGAACGAAATAGACTCTCTAAATGTCTGGAAGGAAACATTGCTATGAATGACTGTTTTCAAGGGAAATTAGACTTAGACAAGAAGAAAGTAAGAATTTCTTGAAATATAAGCATTTCTTTAACAGTGAAAATGATCATTTTATTTTACTAAAAACTTTAACGTTATCTAATATTTAATGCTGTTCATACTATTTATACTTACTGTTTCTGAGACAGAGTCTCCCTATCTAATTCGGCCCAGACTTGAACTCACTATGGCCTAGGCTGGCCTTCAACTCTCCACGATCTTCTTGCCTCATCCTCCCAAGTGCTGGCATTACAGGCGGGCACCACCACACATGGCACTGTGCTTTTCTTACTAGTGGCATAAGGGGAGCTGGGCTTAGCGGCGCACACCTGTAGTCCCAGCACTGAGAGGCTGAGGCAGGAGGGTTACAGATTTAATCTCAGCCTAGGGTATGTAGCAAATTCAAAGCTGGTCTGGAACATAGCCAGATCCTGTCTTAAAAAACCAAAGAAGAAGTACTGGTGGTGGTGGTGGTAGAGGGAAAGCAAAGAGCAAAGAAGGGGGAAGCTACAGATGCTTAAAGCTTCTGGTTTTATTAAAAAGTCTCTGTGGGCACACACGCGCACACACACACACACACACACAGACAATATTATTGTGGTGCTGGGTATGGAAACTAAAAGCCTCACACATGTTAACCACGTGCTGCACCACTGAGCTATGCCCTTGGCCCCAATCCAACACTCACTGAGCACTTCATTTTTACAAACACCAAGCACCCAATGAAATGATGTCTAAAAAATGTACCAAATAGCGTTTAGGGAAGTGCAGTTTTCACCTCTGCTCCTGAGTACATAAATCATAATGGTTCATTTCCACGCACAGAATTTAAATGCTTTATTAAAATTTAAGGATATAAAAATAACGTTTTCCATATCCCTTTAAGTCATATTAAAAATGTGAAGAAAATGATAATAATCTTCCCAACCTTTTTTATGCCATTTAATCTCAGTAACCTTTACTGATATTGCTGGTTTGGTTCCGGACTATTGCAATGAAGCAAATATCACAAAAAAATGAGTCACATGAATCTTTTGGTTTCCCAGCACACATAAAAGTCATGTTTACACTATACTATGTATTTGTTATATATAAATTAAAGCAAATGAGTAAATATTCTTTGGAAAAGAAAAATAGCCAGGCAAACCTAGCTACAAAGGAAAGAGAGAAGGTAAAAATACAATAAGTTAGGAAGAAGAAACGTGTAGAATGAATGCATACATGTGGAAAAGATGAAAATCTTCAAAATATTTTGTAGTTCAGTAGCAATAAGTGGAAAATCTAGGGGCTGATATGTAGCTTATGTAGCGGTAGAGAGTGTGCTTAGCACGCATGAGTCCTTGCATTTCACCCCTACACCACACACACACACACACACACACACACACACACAGAATGATCAAGTCAGGCATGATGCACTCCTGTAATTCTAGCACTCGAGAGACTAAGGCAGGAGAATCACTGAAAGTTCAAGGCCAGCCCGGACCACATAGAAAGACCCTGCCCGCACCCCCCAAAAAGAATCAAAACAAAAATCAAAGAATCTGGTAAGGCAATATTTGAAATGCTGAGAAACCAAAAAGTTTAATTTTGTCAGGAATCGTATTATTACAAAGTTGAGTAAATAGTAAGTGGTATTTGTAAACTGCCGTTTTTGACAGGTATAAAATTTACACTGAGCAACTGAGTTCTTAGAATCTAGTCACCAGCCTCTTTCATTTTTGCTCTCTCTTGTTCCTTTAAATGTATTCTGTGGGACTGATTCTTCATCTGCCACTAAGTGCAATTTAAGGCAGGATGATGTGTATTTTTAATTCTTTTTAGCTATTGTTTCTGGTAGTGGTTTCCATTTCTCTAATTTGTTCATACTGCCATATCTTCAATTGTCGATTTTAGACATTATCTGTTGATTTCCCATTAAAGCTCTCTCATACCACTTTCCCACCCACGCCTTCCATTCGCCCAACATAGTTACTTCTACGAGTATTTTTAGTGAGAACCACAATCAACATTTACTTCACAATGACACTAAATAAGTGTCACACGTGCTTAAGATACAAATTCTTGTTAACATCCCTTCATTGTATTGCCTTTTATTTTTCTAGAGTTAATGCCTTCTTTGTGTTTTCATGTATAGTTTTTGACATTCATTGCTTTCTATTTTACATTGTATTAACCGTGTAGTAGGTAAAACTCTCCCATTTTTTTCTCTCCCAGAGTTTTTCATTTTCTTGCTTCAGTCTGGGTTTGCCCTGTGGGTCTGGGCATAGATATGATCTTGTGACTTTTCTTCTCCACTCTTCTCATTAGGAATCATTGTCTCCTGAATCTTCTTCATTTTTTTTTTTTTTTTGGTGCCAGGGCTCAAATTTGAGGCCTTGTGCTTGCAAGAGGTGTTAGAACCACTAAACTAAATTCCCGGCCCTCTTCTTTTTCAAATTTCCTTTCTTATTTTACTGGAAGACATTCTTCAGTAACTTCCTAAGAAGTGATGCCCTGGAGAGATAACCTTTTCTTTAAGTCCTTGTATAAATGACAAGATCTTTTTGTGAATCTTTACACCCAATAATCGGGTTTAAACTTTATTATTACACAGAGATTAGAAGATATTACTCCATTATATTCTAGCCTCTCTAGGCTCTTCTTTAGAAAAATGATGTTATTATTCTTTTTCCTTAATATGTTACTTTGTTTTATTTATTTAATGTATTAAATATTTGTCATAACAAATTTGTTACATTTAAAATAATTTTCTTTTTTAAAAATTTATTTATTTATTTATTTTGGTACCAGGAATCGAACTTGAGGCCTTGCTCTTGCAAAGCAGGCAGCAGAACCACTGAGCTAAATACCCAGCCCTCCAATTTTGTTTTTTTTTGTACCCAGAATCGAACTTGGGCCCTTGCTCTTGTGAGGCAGGCAGCAGAACCACTGAACCAAATCCCCGGCCCTAAAATAACTTTCTCATAATAAAATTAAATTTATGTGATTAGTGAAGATTTATAAAGCTCAGAATAATAGAAGGAATATCATTAAAAAAAATATCGGTAGGGCTGGGCTTGGTGGTGCACACCTGTAATCCCAGCACTTGGGAGGCTGAGGCAGGACAATCACTATGAGTTCCAGGTCAGTCACAACTACACAATGAAACCCTGTCTCAAAACAAACAAACAAACAAACCAACAAACCTCAGTAGGGTCAGGGATATAGTTCAGTGGAGCCACGCTTGCCTGGCAAGTGTAAGGTCCTGAGTTCTATCCCAGTACTGAAAAAAATAAATAAATAAATTTAAAATGTCAGCAAACCTACCACTTTGAGATAACCAGTGTTGACCAGTGTTATATTGTAGAAACATTTCCTTCTGATTACTATCTATGTATATTTTAACAATTGAGATAGGCATAGTTTTTCCTAATCCTTCTTCTTTCATTTAACTATATCATTACTACTTTCTTTGAATAAATATTTTTGAAAGATTTTCTAGGGAATGTGTATTTTATCATTATACAGTTGAATTATTCTTTTTTTTTTACAGTTCATTGCTATTTTTATGATACAAAGAGTGTTGTAAAGAATAGCCGCCCCCCCAAAAGAAAGAATAGGCTAGGCATGGTGGTGCACACCTGTAATCTTAGCATTCAGGAGGCTGAAGCAGGAGGATTGCTATGAGTTCAAGGCCAGCCTGGATTACATAGGGAGTCCAAGACCAGCCTGAACAACCTGTAAGTTCCCGGCACTCTGGGAGGCTGGAGCAGGTGGATTGAATGTTCCAGCCCATGCTGGGAAAGTTAGCAATTTAGTGAGACCTGTTTCAAAATAAAAAATAAAAACATATCAGAGATATAACCCAATGGGAAGCATGTTCATTCAATCCCTAGTTTAAAATATCTATATAAAACCTCTGTGCATGTATCTTATTCATACTTTATTTTTCCTTATAATACATACATTCCTAGAAAAGATGGACTAATCTATCCTGCTACTTAGTACTTACAAAGCTGTCTGTTTAACTGTACTTGTATACTGTCATCACTTTCATTGTTACATTTTATTTTCCTTATTCTTTCACTAATACAGTACGTATTTATGGTGAAAACATATTTTACTTATGTAAGCATTGTTAAGCCTGCAGTTGTTAAGTCTAGAGTTTATGTCTTATTATGCTTATATAGAATACTACGTTAAAGCACAATTCTTTATTTTGATAGTTAATTTCTACAAAGGAAAGCTCCATGATGCAGAATTTCCTGATAGATAAGCACAACAAGTTCAAACACTTAGATATGTTACTGGATATTCAGCAGAACTTGCAGGTTGCGACAACACTAAGATTGGAGGACAAAATCCAGAAACTTCAGAAACAGCTTAGTGATTTGAAATTGTCAAACAAAACTATGAAAACTCAACTGTCAAGAGTAAATATCCTTAAAGTAAGTAAAGGACCCCTCCTTTCAAAAACTTACTTAAACTTTGGTCTGTTCCTATTTTAGCTCCCTGTTCATCATTGAACTTTAAAAAAAAACCCTAATATTTAAATTATTTTACATAGATATAGCAGAATATATAATATTGAAGTCTATAGAATAATAAAATAGGGAAAACCATTGGTCACTTTATTTTTATTTTTAAAATTAAAAAATTTTTACTCTTTTGGTAATGGGAATCAAAATTAGGACCTGGCACTTGCCGGGCAGGTGCTATGCCACTGAGCTACATCCCTGGCCCCTACTGATCTTTCTTTTCCTCTTTCTTTCTTGCTTTTTTTTTTTTTTTTTTTTTGCGACAGTCTCTCTTTGTAGTTCAGACTGGCCCTGAACTCTCACTATGTAGCCCAGGCTGACCTCGGACTCACAGCGATCCTCCTGCCTCTGCCTCCCTAGTACTGGAATTGCAGACATGTGCCACCAGGCCCAGCCCCTACTGATCATTTTAAAAAATAGAAAATCACCAATCTCCTCAAAGCCCCAATTTATTCTCCTATTTCTCAAAAGTAAACTAGTACTCTAAATATTATGTCTATAAATCCCTTGATTTTTGTTTTAGTATAAAACTAATTAATCTTTTCATTTTTGAAATCTGTATTAGTACACATGTGCAGCACACAGTGATTACATTCACCTTGGGGAACTGGTACACGTGCACAACACATCTTCATTGTTTTTGCTTCCCCATCCCTTCCCCTCCATCCCTCTTCCCTCCATCTCTGGGAATAAATGTACTCTGATCATGATAATAGATCAAAGTTTTTCATCTTATTTTTTCTCTGCTTTGGCTTTTCTAGCTTCAGTTATACTATTTCAAAAGTAAATTGTCGGGTTGGGGATTTAGCTCAGTGGTGCCGCTGCCTGCCTCATAAGTGAAAGGCTCTGAGTTCCATCTCTGGAACAACAGCAAAAATAAATAAATTGTTCCTTAGGTCAAGCATGCACTAAATATTTGACTGATTGATATGCCAGTTTTCTTTCTTTCTTTCTTTCTTTCTTTCTTTCTTTCTTTCTTTCTTTCTTTCTTTCTTTCTTTCTTTCTTTCTTTTTCTTTCTTTCTTTCTTTCTTTCTTTCTCAGTAATGGGGATGGAACTCAGGACCTTGCACTTGCCATGCACGCACAGTAGCACTGAGCTACATCCCCAGCCCATTTCCTTTATTTTTGTGTTTGACTAACACAGGTTGTAAGACCTTTGAGAGCATGGAAAATGTGTGAAGCCTCTGTAAGATCTGGTTCCAGGTTATCAAAATATTGAGTGAATGCTGATAATTATTGAGTATGATGATAGAGAAACATTTGCTTCATTCAGAAATTGTGGAATTTTTTTCCTTTCCATATGTATTAGTTTTCCATCCCTGTGACAAAATACCTGAGACGGTCAACTTAAAAAGAGAAGACATTTATTCTGTCTCCCAGTACTGGGTGTACTCACTGGTCACTGGTCAGTGTTCCGCTGTTTCTGGTGAGCAGAATGCTGCTGTGAGGAGCGCATGGAGGGACAATCTGCTCTCCTCACATGGGCCAGAAGCAGAGAGAGACAGCGGGCAGCAGGGCTGGGATGAAATGCACCCTCCCAGGACCTCCTTCCTCCAAGCAGAGCCTGCTCCTAAGGTTTCCACTGCTCCCAGTGGTTCCTGAGCTGTGCATCCATCAGCGGATTCATCCACGCATGAGGGCAGCGCTCTCATGACGCAGTCATCTCCTGAGCCCCAACCCCTGAGCTCTGCTACCCTCTGCCCAGCCTCCAACACACGAGATTTTGAGTGACAGCTCAGATCCAGGCAGTAACACTCACATCTCTTCCAGTAAAAAAGGGAGGGAAAATAACGAGTAATGCTTGTCTGTTATTTGTAGAGATCAAACAAGTCTTCACCTTTCTTTTGTGCACCTTTTATCCTCTCCCAGGACAAAACACTTGAAAAGCTCAGGAAATCCCTGAAAAAAGTTGAAACAATGAAAGAGAAGGCAGCTGCGAAAACAGACAACTTGAAAACCACAGTGGACTCCACAAAACAAGAGGCGCAATCGGAGAAAGAGAGGGCTCGAGACGGGTTAAGAGGTGTCTCTCCTGAGCGCTCCATGGCACGGAGCGCACTTGGAGAAGCATCCAGACAGGAACGAGAGGTGGTTGTTACTGGATTAAAATGAGTTGAGTTCATAAGCACCTATCTCAGTGGAGACGGACTTAGACACAGATGTGTTCACTGGTTACGGTATCAATGGCAAGTTAAACAATCCAACCTCCGGGCAGAGGTGAACCTGGGCTCCAGGCTCAGCAGCTGGAACAGTACAGGGCTTCTCAGCATCTTTGCTTGGCTTCTCTGTGACCACTCATTGGTCTGACCGCCAGTTAGTTTTCTCCATATGACAGGAAATACAGCCACCGACAGCCATGGAGTTTTGTATTTGTTTACGACAGTGGGAGAGAGTATCAATATGAGGCCCAGCTCCTGTGCTGGCCTAGTGTAGATAAAGTGCTTCTCCCAGATGACTCCACAGTGGCTAAGTGTGCATATGATGATCTTAGCTTAGTTTGTGAACACTTCGTCTGACCAGCCAGGAGGGAAGGGTCCTGTGAAAGAATGGGAGCTCAGCACAACACAAGTATGTTGTCTGCTGTGTCACTTTCTAGGATAGGACAGTGATTTGAAATTGGCCTAGATTTTCACTGCACTTATAAACTAAATCTCTTCTTTGTCTCTTTCTCTGTCTTACTTTTTAAAAAAAATTTAGACAGGATCTCACTTAGGTAGTTAAGGCTGGGCTTGAATTTATGGAAATCTTCTTGTCTCAGCCTCCTGAGTGCTGGGATTACAGGTATGCACTACTACACCTGGTTACCTCTCTCTCTCTTTTCTGCTCTTGTGTGGCATTGTGTTTGGTGGTAGTGGTACCAGTGCTCTGAATTGATCCCAGGGCCACACACTAAAGAAAATATTTTAAGAAAAAAAAGTAAAGATTAATTGATAATTTTGGGCAGCTGTTAAATCACATGTCAAATCTCCATATTAGTTGCTTAATTTAAAATTTTAACAAAATACTTTAAGACATTCTTAAAACAAGGTCAATATATAAGCATTTTATCTCTCTACTTCTCTTTTGTGCATGTTTGTTTTCTATGTAGTTTTTGTTTTGTTTTGTGAGACAGGGTCTCACTATGTAGTTTAGACTGACCTAGAACTCACTATGTAGCCCAGGCTGGTCTCGAACTCACAGCGATCCTCCTGCCTCAGCCTCCCGAGTGCTGGGAGTACAGGCGTGCGCCACCGCACCTGGCTTCTATGTAGTTTTTATTCCTCTCTTCAATGTCCCTTATTTTTTATTTTTTTGTACCGGGGATCTAAGTCAGGACCTTGTGCTTTTGAGACAGGTGCTGGTACCACTGAGCTAAATCCCCAGCCCTGTCCCTTATAATCTCAATAAAATCTCTTCTTTAGGCATTCTGAAGTTCATTCTTCATGTTTGAAATGATTTTCTGCAGTTCTTGCCTAATTTCAATTACCGTATCTTCCTTATACGTTAGACATCTTGGACATTTTTTGGATATTTTTTCCCATTTATATTCTGAATAATTACATTCCCGATTTAAAAGAAGAAAGATTTTTCCCTCACATTTGCAAACCCTTGTTTAATTGAAATGTAATTCATATTAGGGTGTTGTTTGAAATCTCTGTTTCCTGGCTGTTTTGGAGGGGAGTATTTTCTTTACCTGAGCAGTTTAGATGGTACTGCCTTTTTTAATTTAAATTTTACTGGTGCTGGGGATTGAACCCAAGACCTTCCCACTGAGCTGTCTCCCCAGCCCTTTTAAAAGTTTTTAATAAGACAAGGTCTTACTAAGTTGCTAGGTCCAAGCTCTGTTCAAACTTGTTATCCTCCTGTTTCGGCTTCCCAGAGTGTGGGATTGTGCCAACAAACATGTCTATTTTTTTCTGACAGTAATCCTATTTGGATATAGTTTGATTCACTTTAAAAATCGTTTTTAAGAAATACTTAATTTTTGGTACGAAGGATTGAACCTTGGGCCTTCGCATTGAGTTACATACCCATACATAGCCCGTTGTTTTGTCTGAGACAAACCTCGAAAAGTCATTAATTTGCCCCGTCTGGGCTTGAATTTATGATTCTCCTTCACTGAGCCTCCCACAGGGGGCTGAGGATTTGGCTCAGTGGTGCTTCCACCAGCTTCGCAAGTGCAAGGATCTGGGTTTGATCCCTGGTAGTCCCCCCCCTCAAATGAAAATAAAATGAACTAAAGTTGAGCTTCCCGCAGTGCTGGGATTACAGCACGCACCACCCTAAAAATCTTTTTAATTGCCCTGTACTTCCTAGTTCAGGCTGGCTGGAGGCTGGTTCACTTACGAGGTTTCTTAACTCAATGTTGCCCTCTGCTGTTCACATAGTGAACACAGTCTGTAAAGTTTACCGGACCGAGCTTCTCTTTTGGTGCGGAGGGGCGGGGGGTGTTGTGATCTGTGATAATTTTCCTGTTTGTAGAATTCTCTTAATTTCCCGCGCCTCCAGGGAGTACCCCACTCTTCCAAGCCCATACTCTCCCAGCTCCCTCAGGAGCCTTGCCTTCTCAAACTGCCATTTCTGGGCCTCTTTGTTCAATTTTTGATTTATTTTTTACTTTTTTTTGTTTTGGGGGGTTTTTTTTTGGTACCGGAGATGAACTTGAGTCCTGGCGCTTGCAAGGCAGGAGGTGGAACCACTGAGCTAAACCCCCGGCCCCACTTTTGTTTACTTTTACGAGTTCGTGTTTGCATATGCGATGACACGTATCTCAGGGAGTTGGTAGGTGTACTTACCACATCTTAATTTCTTCCTCTTCTCATCTCTTCTCCTATCTGCTCTTCCATCTTCCCTTTATAAAAGCTCTATTTCCATCATAGTCTTTCATTCTTTTTTCCATCCTTTCCCTCCCCCCCCCACGTCTCGTTCCTCCATTATTACTCTTTATATTTGGGTTTCTCAGATAAGAGAAGTCTTGCAATATTTAAGCTTGTGTGTCTGATTTATTTCACTTAATTTTACGGTCTCAAAGTACATCTGTTTACCTGTGAATCCTTCTTCATGGCAGAGTAATACTCCATGCTGTGCAATTACATTTGCTTTATCTATTCGTCCGCTGATGGACCTATACACCACTTCTGAGATTTAGCTATTACAACTTATGCTGCTATAAACATGGATATGCATGTTTCCTGGTATTATGATAGCTTTAACTTTTAGGGGGGATACCCAGAAGGAAAATAGCTATGTCAAAGGGAGTTCCTAGTTTTGTCTTTTGAAAGAAACTTCATACGAATTTCCACGGTGGTTGTACCAGTTTGCAGTCCCCCCAACAGCGCAGGACGTTTCCCTTTCCCCACAGTCTTACCATCATTTGTTATTACTTGATTACTTAAGACGCCTTTCTTTCTGAGGTAAAATAGAATCTCAGTGTTGTTTTAATTTGCATTTCTGTAGTGGGCAGAGATGTTGAGTATTTTTTCATGTGTGGCCATTTGTACTTCTGAGAAGGGTCTGTTCATTTCAGTTGCCCCCTTTTTTTTTCCTTTTTTGTACTGGGATCAAATTCAGGCCCTTGTACTTGCAAGGCAGGCGCCAGAACCTCTGAACTAAATCCACAGCCCTCAGTTGCCCATTTTTTGACAGTCTTTTATAGGGGTGGGCTAATCTTTGAGGTCTTGATACACTGTAGATATTAGTCCTCTGCCCAAGGAATAGCTGGCAGAGATTTTTTCCCCATTCTGTAGTTGTCTCTTCACTCTGTTTCCTTTGCTGTGCAGAAGCCTTTAAATTTGCTATGGTCGCATTTGTTTCTTGATACTATTGCTTGTGCCATGGGATTTGTTCAGAAAATCCTTGCCTATGTCTATGTCTTCAAGAGATTTACCTGTTTTACCTTCCAGCAGAATAAGTGTGTCTGTTTTTTGTTTTGTTTTGTTTTTTTCTTTTTTATGAGGCAGGGTCTCACTATGTAGTGGAGACTGACCTGGAACTCACTATGTAGCCCAGGCTGGTCTTGAACTCACAGTGATCCTCCTGCCTCAGCCTCCCGAGTGCTGGGATTACAGGTGTGCGCTACCATGCCCGACTAAGTGTGTCTGTTTTTACATTTAGATCTTGAATCCATTTTTATTTCAGTTTAGTACATGGTGAGATAGATGAGTTTAGATTCAGTCTTCTGCCCCTGAAGATCCAGTTTTCCCAGCACTATCTGCTAAAGCTAAGCACTTGATTTTCCCTCCACCAGGTCTCAGTTTGTTTCCCCTATTTTCCCATTATGAACTGTCCCATTTCTGGGACACCAGTGGAGAACAGAGTCACTCTTCTGCGGAGCTGCCCTGCTGGCTTAGGAATTCATTTCCCCACATCCATGCAAAGTGAAGGCTGTTGTATTCCCTAGTTATGCTGTAGGCATGCTTTATGGGTGGTCTCTTTTATTTGTCCTCTCATTGATCACTGTGATTGATCCAAATTGATCCAGATTCGATTTGGAGGATGGATGGAGAGATAGGTAGCTGTGGACTTCTATTATCATAAAGCAAATCAGAAACCCAAAAGGTAGTCCCAGCTGCAAGGGAGACTGAGTCAGGAGGATCCCTTGAACCCAGGATTTGGGGGCCAGCCTGGAGAACATAGCAAGAGCTCCTCTCCAATAGGAACGGAAAAACAAAAGAATTGCCTTATGGGTGAAAAACAACAAGCAGTAACCAAAAATAAATAAATATTAACAAAAGCATGAGAGCTAGAAAAATATTAAAATGTGAAGGAAATTTTAAAGAGAAGAGACTGTTTACCTAACTTGAAAATACATTTGAGGGCCGGGGATTTAGCTCAGTGGTACCACTGCCTGCCTTGCAGGTACAAGGTCCCGAGTTGGATCCCCAGTACCAAAAAAGAAAGAAAAAAGAAAATACATTTGAGGCTGGGCCTCGTGGTGCATGCCTGCAATGCATATATGATAAGTGGGTGACCCAAACTAATGACCTGTTTTAAGTTTTGTGGTGGTTCTTCATAGCTTGCTGACTTTCGGGAAATGATTATGAGGATATTGGGATGGAACATGAAAACAGCAGACAAAGAAATCATCAATCAGCTGAAGCTTATCATACAAGTTTATGAAATAACTAACAAATCAAAGATTGCTTCTGCTTGTGAGAAGGGACAAGACAAGAAATAAAGAAGTTCTTTTTTTCATTGCTGCCAATAACCCAGCAGATGCGGATATTTCCTACATCATCTTGAATATGGCCACATTATGAATAAAATGTCCTGGAAAATTTTCACTGAAATCTGTCCCCTCTTGTAATGTTTGGCATTTAACCTTTATAATAATCGGGTTCTATGGATTTATTTATGGTCTAGCCTGGATTGTTGCTTATAATGTATAATTATCTAATTACCTTTCATTACTAATATTATTATTACTATTATTGTTTTTGGTACTGGGAATCGAACTTGGGACCTTGCATTTGTGACAGGCAGCGGAACCACTGAGCTAAATCGCTGGCCTGACTAATGGTATTTTAAGCAGGATATGAATCTGTTTTGTTTTGTTTGTTTTTTTTTTTTAGTACTGGAGATTGAACTCGGGTCCTTGCACTTGTGAGGCAGGCGGTGGAACCACTGAGCCAAATCCTTGGCCCAGGATATGAATCTGAAACTTGTATTCTTAGTCAGGTGTGGTGGCACACATATGTAATCCCATACTTGGGAGGCTAAAGCAGGAGGATTGCTTTGAGTTCAAGGCCAGCCTGGGCTACATAGTGAGTTCAAGGTCAGTTGGGACTATACAGCCAGACCCTGTCTCAAAAACAATCAAACAAACAAACAAAAAAATAAAACATATTCATAGTTGGAATATTTATATCTGTGATAAACATTACTTTTGGAATGAGTAGTTTATTGGTTAAGCAATCACCGTTAGGAATCCAGTAAAACTGAAGTCTATAATCTGAGTCTATCTTATTTGTTTTATTAATGGAGTATGAATATCAAGTATGAAATGTTGAGGAGTAATAAGATCACTGAAAATTTTAAATAGGCAAAAGACTGTCTTGTGTTTTATATTTTCTTTGTATTTAATGGTGCCTGCCAGTGTTGCCCTTTTTAAATTCTATCATGTCTAATATATTTCAGCTAAAATAGGAACTTGTTCACTTTTCAAGGTGGTTTTAGATTTACCTGTGGTATCCTCTGTGGGAACAGGTCCAATCAGACAAGCTTGTGAGACTAAATGCCTTTAAAGGTGGGTCATTAAGCGGGAAGTGGTGGTGCACATCCTGTAATCCAGCTACTCTGGAGGTTGAGGTGGAGGATCACAAGTTTAAGGCCAGTCTGGGCAACTTGGTGAACCATTACCTCCAATTTTTATTTAATTAAATTTATTTATTTATTTTTGGTTTTTTGAGACAAGGTCTTGCTGTGTAGTTTAGGCTGGTCTTGAACTCAGTATGTAGCCGAAGCTGGCCTCAAACTCACAGCGATCCTCCTGCCTCAGCCTCCAGAGTGCTGAGATTACAGTATTTGCCACCATGCCCAGCTCAAAAATTTAAAAAAATTTGCAAAGGGCTGGACATGTAGCTGGGTGCAGAGGCCCTGGGTTCAATCCCCAGTACTGTAAGAATTAATAAATTAATTGTGGGTCATTTGACAGGGTCTGCTATTGGGTTTAGTTTTAGAAAATTCATCAGCATAAGAGACATCAAGTATGAAGTTACACTGAAGCAGAATTACACTTTTTTTTTTTTCTGTTTTGTTTTTGAGACAGGGTTTTACTATGTACTTCTGTGGGCTTTACACCCACTATGTAGCCCAAACTGGCCTCAAACTCATGGGGATCCTCCTGTCTCAGCCTCCCTGGAATTACAGGTGTGTATCACCACACCTGGCTAGTAAACTGAATTTAGATTTAAGTCTTTAGAGAAGTGGTTCTCAACCTTCAGTATACATGAGAATCACCTAATAAATTTAAAAATAAAATTTCCCACCAAGCCTACTCAGATTTCCAATTCAGCTAGTGCACTATAGAGCCACAGTTCGGTATCTTTTCAAAACTCCCTTGCTGGGCATGGTGACACATGCCTGTAATCCCAGTACTCAGGAGCTTGACAGCAGAGAATTGCTGTGAGTTCAAGGCCAGCCTGAACTACAAACCCCTCCCCCAGTCCCAAACCCCTCCCCCAGTCCTCACTGAATCTCCGAGTACAAATATTGACAAAATTACTTGGAAAAACTAGCAGTGTATTAAATTCCTGTTGCTGCTTTAATAAATCATCACAAACTTTGTTGGCCGAAACAATACACATTCATTGTCTTGCAGTTTTGGAGGATTCACTGGGCTTAAAATCAAGTAGTTGGCAGAACTGTGCCCTCCTGGACAGGGGGAGAATCTGTTCCCTTGCCTTCCCCAAGGTTGCCCTGGAGGTTGCTCACATTCTGGGCTCTCTTTTCCCAGTCATCAGATCAGCCTGGGTGTCAATGCTCTTTCTCTAATTCATCTGCTCTTCTTGTCACCTCCTTCCCATAGACAATAATGTTCCTGTTTTATTTTTTAAAGTTTTTTCTTTGTGGTGCTGGGGATCCAGACTCAGGGCCTCATGCATGCTAAGCAGGATTTCTACCAATGAACTGCATGCCCAGCCCTGATGTCCATATTTTAAGGTCAGGTGATTAGCAAACTTCAGTCCTTTTGCCATATGACTTGATATTCTCACTGGTCCCAGGGTCAGGACGTAGATACTTTGGGGGAGACTTTACACTGCCTACCATACTTAGATTCTAATAAAATCAAACACATGTGTGTTTTATGAAGGCACTTCTCATAATCGCCCCAAGCTGCAAACTACCGAAATGACCACTAGTACCTTAAGTATGACAACCAGATCCATAGGTTAAGCTTTCAGGTCTCCCTCGGGGCTGGACAGAGAGAAGTCAGCTAGCGGCTGAATTTTCTCAGGAGCTAAACTCCTGAGCTGGACAGATGGCAAATAAAATTGGAGCAGACAGGCTTGAGAAAAGCAGGAAAATGTACGGGTTTTCCCTAAGCAAGGTGGTAAAACACTAACATGGTGGGAAAAGCAGTGGGCTGTAAGGAGACCTGGCTCTGGAACGTCGTCACTAAACAGGCTTGTAGCCTCCTGTCAAGTCTCGGCATTTCTCGAGGCCAATCGATGACTCGATTTTTTGTTTTTGTTTGGGTACCCGGATCAAACTCAGGACCTTGATCTTGTGAGGCTGGCAGGGCGTCACTGAGCTACAGCCGCAGCCCAGAACTTGATTTTTTTAAATTTCAAGATTAAAAGAATCGCAGCCCGGATTTCTGAGCTCTAACTGTGGGTTCCAGGAAGCCCCAAGTACTCTGGCAGACACATTTTCTGGTCAATCAAAAGGAGTTTGCTGCCCCAGGAGAACAGGTGCCAGCGGGGCCACCGGGCACCTTCTACTCCTGGGCTCCAGTCCTCAGCTGCAGGAGGCCCGTCCCGAGGCGACAGCCTGAGATTAGCCGCCCTTCAAACCCACCCTGTTCTCCTTACCGCTACAACTGTTGTGCCCAGATTGCGAGTCCCCAAAGACCACCAAGGAGTCGAGTCCGATGTAAATGCATGAGGAGTTTATTGCAAGCTGGAGCCTGGACCCCGTACCTCACCGACTAAGCGGATCAGAAACGAGAGCCTCGACCCTCTTCTAAGACATAGTTTTGTAGGGTTTGGGAGGCTTGAAATCCTTTCTCATTGGTGTTACTTTTTACTTCTTATTTCTATTGGGTGTTGCTGGGGCACTTGCGAAAACGGGAAGAAAACTATTTCAGGCTGGGGAGGGGGCTGGTTCAGGGAGAGGTCAGTGTGCTCCCCTTATCTATACAGAACCTCCTGTCTTTTTTTCTCTGTGAGTTTATGCTTTCTTTTCCCAGCTATCTGGCCTTGCCTTTATCTCGACTAAGCAAATTCCTGCTTGAGTTCATCTAGGAGTCACATTTAACATATGATGGCCTTCTATCTTAAACGGAGTAACTTTGGTCTCTACACAACTACCCACTTCTCAGAAGGAGGGTCCCCACACAGGGTGCTAGGGGGTTCCTCAACCCACCCTACCTGTGGAATTAAACCAACTCTGGTCTCGGAAAAATAATTTTCAGGGCGCAAGAGGCATAAAGGGATTAGGCAGAAATTTAAAGTACGCACTCCTAAGAAACAGAGTGCCTGCTCTCTAGAGAGGGGCGCCTTCCATCCGAGCTAGGTGTATTTATGGGGCCGCCATGGGACGGTCTCCAGACGGGTGATCTAGGGTGTGTGTGTACTCCTGTTCGTCACGGTGCAAGTCATTTACATGTCTGGTGACACGGTGCCCCCTGATACTGCTGCTTCAGGGTGGAGGAAGAGCAATTTACAAGTGAAAAGAAGGAGGTGTGTGTGAGGGGAGCCAATATGCAGGTGGAAGGGGATCGCCCAGGCTTTTGTGTCTCGCGAGAAATAAAAATTCAAACTGGGCTTGGATAACTTTGTGTTAAGATGAAGAGTTTTTTTAAGTACACATTTTTAAAAATCCCATTTTCCTAGCCAGGTGTGGTGGCGCACGCCTGTAATCCCAGTACTCGGGAGGCTGAGGCTGGAGGATCGCTGTGAGTCGGAGACCAGCCTGGGCTACACAGTGAGTTCCAGGTCAGTCTCAACAAACAAACAAAAAACCAAAGAACCCCAAAAATAAACAAACAAAAGTCCGATTTTCCTCGTCTCCTTTCTGCCTGTCTTTATTTCTTCTCCTCTACCGAAGGAGCCCTCGGACCCGCGTACCCTGAGTGCCCCGCCTGCGGTCCGGCACAGCGTGGAGCCCGCAACCACCCTCTGGGGCAGAACTGTCTTTCAGGGCTACGGCGGCGCGGTCGCCCTCTACGGCCCAGCCCACAGCCCCCCAACATTTCAGCGACCCCTTGCTACTGAGCTCACGCCTCGCTGGGGAGAAGGACAGGACGGCCACAGGCCAGAGAGAACTATCAAAACCAAGAGGTCAGCGTTAGCGAGACGACGGGAGAGACAGGAACAGCGGAGAACGCGCGCGCTGCGCGACTGCCCTGGAAGAACAGCCGGGGCTCACGCCGCCTGGATTCCAGCCAATCAGGGCGCGGGGCTGGGCGGAGCCAGGGTGGGCGTGGCTGGCGAGAAGATATCGCGGGAACGCAGCCTCG